GCCCGTCAGCAGCGATCCCGCTGCTGTTTTCAGGCGAATCCCCGCTCCACGTGTGCCTGGGATCGTGATCTGCCCCCGCTGTGACTGTGGCTGCTGCCCTTCCCTGCCTTATCATGTTTTTGTACAGATCCCAGGTACAATAAACTGCTCAAATATTTGCAGAGATGTCCTTGTGCTGCCAGAGCGGTGAGCTTCTCTTGTTTGGTTGGGGGGTGGAATCCAGCGTCGCTGTGATTTCCCAAGGAAACATCGACACCATTACAGCCGCACCAGTGTGGGGCCGGGCAGGAGGCGCGGAACCGGACACCGGGGAGCTGCTGTGGGGCCAGGCTTGGCCATGGGCACAACAGGACAGCCCGGCTTTTGGGGTGACGCCTCACAGGGCAGGCAGCTCCAGCGCCCCGGTGTGTGAGGGAGGCAGCGTCTTTTTGGCTGCAGGGTAGCAGAGACTGCACTGGTGGCTCCTCTGGGACCTTGCGCAGGGATAGCGCTATTCGAGGTCACCCCACAATCCTGCAACCCTTTGGCGCAAGCAGTGTCCTTGGCAGCCCTCCTGTGCCTGGGAGGTTTGGAGCTGCTGTGTCCATCTCTTCCCTGCAGCACGGCCTGTCCCCCGCTGGCGTCAGCCCGGCACCAGGCACCGCTTTGCTCCAGCACGGCCGGGGCTGGGCTGTGGCAGCAGCACCCCGAGGCCACATGGCACCGACGGGGACAGTGCCTGCCTTGTCGCCGTCCCCTCCAGGCAGGCGGTGGTGGCTGAGGCGCAGTCCCCGCTCCAGCCAGGCCCTTCTCCTCCCTCCTGGGCGGGGAGAGTGGACAGGAGATAAAAGGGGGACCAGGGCCAGCTGGAAGTTGCTGAAAGCTGCTGGGGCCCGAAGCGAGGGAGGACTGCAGCAAGGAGAAGTGCGGTATCGAGGGCTCGTTCTCGCGGGGAGAGGGCTGGGGAGTGGGGGCACATCCACCCTGACCAGATCCTGCATCTCCCTGCTCCCTACCCAGATCCTCCCCCCCGGACCCCTATCCTCCCCCTTGCCCATTAAGCGTGCTGGATGTTATAGGGGTGGGGAATATCCCGGGATGGGCTGGATTAGGTTGGAGGACGTGGCTTCAGGCCGATGTGGGGACTCAAGGGCTTTAAAGGCTCTGTGTACCCCCAAAGCACTTTGTGGGGCATCAAGGACTCTCAAGGTGACCTGAAGGTGAAACCATCTCTGTCCCAGTGGCTGCTCACTGGCAGCTGAGATAATGAGGGCTGTATCCCTGCTCCCTTTCTGGGGCAAAGACAGACCTCTCTCTGGGGCTGGGTTTGTTTTGTGGGATCGGAGAAGTGGAGAAGGCCCATGGGAGGAGAAGCACCTTCATTTCTTGAGATGTGGAGTAGGTGTCCACTGCCAGGGGAGAACAGGATGCTGTGGCACTGGGTGCCCACAAAAGACAGTAGCAAGGAGTTGGGTGCTCCAATTCCCCACCTCGTCCCCCTTTCCTTGCCCCTTGGGATGGGGGTCCTGGCTCCCAGTGCCAGGATCAAGCCAACACTGCCTTGACAAGTCCTTGTCTGCCCTGGAGCAGGATGCAGGGAGATATTTTGGGGTTGCAGTGGATCTGGGAGGAGAGTAACACCCCGTTTCCCCCTGCCAGGGCCGGGGTCGAGGATGGGGCTGCTGGTGCTGGCCCTGGCCACCTGGCTGGGGCTGGCCTCGGCCTCTGAGGAGGCGGCCAACAGCAGCCGGATCTGCCAGGAGGCACCGGCATGGACCATCAATGGCTCGAGCCCCATGGAGGGGGCGGCAGGGCAGGTGACGGTGGTGGCCCTGCTGAAGGCCAGCTGACAATTCTGCCTGCGGCAGGCCCACAGGTGAGCCGCGCTCCCCCTCCCCAGAACAATCCCCGCTCCTCGGGGGTGTAGGGCAGCCCCCTGCCCCGGCAGCCCCTCCAGTGCCTCCTTCCCGCAGCCTGGGGGGCCTGCGGGAGCGGCTGGCCCGGCAGGGCATGGCCAATGTCCGCTACATGATCATCAACGAGAAGGCCCCGCTGTCCCGCGCCATGCTGCCGGAGCTGGAGCGCCATGCCCCGCCCGGCGTCCCCGTCTTCCAGCCGGAGCAGGAGGACCCTGACGTCTGGCAGGTCCTGGGGGGTGACAAGGATGACTTCCTCGTTTATGACCGGTGAGTGTGCCCCGATTTGCCTGAGGCTTTTCTGGGTGTTACAGAGCGTCCAAAATCTCCGCTCGTGGCTGGGCTGGGGGCGTTCCAGACCCTTGCCTTGAGCCAGGCCATGACTTTTCCCCTCAGGTGTGGCCGCCTGGCTTTCCACATCCAGTTGCCCTTCAGCTTTCTCCACTTCCCCTATGTGGAGGCAGCCATCCGCTACAGCCATATCAAGGACTTCTGTGGCAACTGCTCCCTCTACCCCAACACTACCCAGCAGGTAAGAGCTGGAATGCTCGATGGAGCCAGGATCCCTTCTGTCCTTTGGCACTGCACATCAGCAAAAACAATCTTATCTCCATGTTGGGGATGGGCTCTAGGTTGGCAGCTGCCCTCAGATGTGTTTTAGAGGGAAGGTGATGAAAGGTCTGGAATAAGGGCACTTAAATAGGTCAGAGCTTTCCGGTTGAAAAGGAATTGACTAAAGGGGTCATATCCCATGTCTGGGAATGCTAACTAGGACTGTTCTGATATAAGGAAGGGCAGGCAGTGGATGCAGGGGTGGCAAGCTCAGAGCAAAGAAAAGGGTGTAGGTCTGAGCTTGGCAGGCGATTAGTCACCTCCCAGGAGAAAAATACATCCAGAAATACTAAATGCATATTCCTGTTTCTGGACCACAGACAGCTGGAGCCAAGGGACACAAATGTAGAGGTTTGTGCCCCATGCTCCCTCTGCCATGGATCAGGGCTGGAGAGCATTTGCTCTGACCCACAGATTTCTGTATGATGAATGTTGGTCTGCCTTTTTCCCAGTTCACAGCTGTGCTCCCAGGCTTTCTGCAGAGCTCTGTGGCATTCGCATACCACACCAGTCCTTGTGTTACTTTCCTCAGGCTAACAGTACCATGGAGGACCCTGCAACCCCGAGCTCACTTCCTGAACACGAGGGGATGGAGTCAGAGACCCCCATGCACCAGCACAAGCCCCTCCATCCTCACCACCATCACAAGGTCAGCAGTGAGAGAGATACAAACCCAAGTGAGGACCACAAACCTGCTACCCATGCTCACCACCACCATGGAGACCATGGCCAGCTCCATCACAAGGGGAAGAAGCAGAAGGAGGGGGATGAGCATTAAACCAGGCTGGACAGCCTTGCAGAACCCAGTAGTGTGCAGATGACCCCAACTCACTTCACAGAAGCATGGAAGGACTTGCTTTGTGCTGCTGGTCACCAGCAGCGCTGGTTTAACAACTCCCTCCAGCATACCCCATGTGGGTTGCACTCCTACGCTGTGATAGGAATGGAAATTCCCCTTGGACCTGCTCAGTGCTGCATTTTCAGCCCCAGGGCTCAGTTCTGAGCCTTCATCTGCCACTGCCTGTCTTTCTGTGCTCAATGAAGCCCGCTGTGCAAACCAGGAGTTCCCTGGTCATTGCTGGCTGACACTGCGCAGAGCAGAAGGGCAGGGGTGGAGGGGCCAGAGCTGGGATGGGAGCAGCACTGCTGGCATCTTCTGCCCATCCAGACACTCCTGGGTGTGCTGGAATCCCTGGGTTTCCTGGCCAGGGAGCGAGGGGAGGGACACCGTGTGCCCCACAGGACATGGCCACGGGGGACTGAGGGCACGAGGAGCGGCGGGATGTCGCAGCTCCCCATGGTCCAAACCCTGTACCCCCATAGCTGTCGCATCCTGGGCACCCCGCAGACCGTGCACACGGGTATGTGCAGTGGTGGTGGGTGGCCGCAAGATGGTGGCCTTGTCCCCTCTTGGAGACCCAGGGGCTGTAACCGATGGGCACAGCCCGAGGAGGACAGCGTGAGGATCCTGAGGTCTTTCCTGGGGGTAAGCGAGGTGGGGAGGGCAGCGTGGATATCCGGAGCACGAATAAAACCTCTGTGAAGTGACCACTGCTCAGTCTGGCCTCTGGTGGGCCTGGGGGTGGTTCTTGCTCAGTGCTGGTCTTTGCTCTGGGCACAGAGGGGGACACAGGGCTGGGTGTAGAGCCCATGGTGCAGCAGCTGGGGGTGATTTACATCCCTTGAGCAGGGGTTGGACATAAAGGGGTTGAAGACTGAAGAACAGTCTTCTCCAAGAGAAGACCCCATCTCTGTCTATCTCCTGGCTGCCTCCCAGGATGGGGGCCCAGGACATTAACACTGCGATGCTTGGAGGGTGTTTGGCTCTGCACCTTCATACCTGGCTTGTAGTGATCTTGGGGTGCCTGCCCCAAGCTGCTGCTGGTTCCCACATGCAGTCCAAAATCACCGTGGGCATCTTGTCCCCAGGACCCAGACCCATTCCCACTGCAGGCACATCGTGGGGTTCCCCAGCCCTCACGCTTGCCTGCAGCTTGGGGTGCCCCAGGCCTGCCTCTGCCCTTTACTCCAGCTCCATCCATCATCCCACACAGCCCTACTCCAGGCCCCACAGCCTGAATGGGGAGCAAAGAGAAGTTTTTCTGCTCAGTGTTTTCATGGTGCTGTGTCCTGATGCTGGGTCATCCTGTCTCTGCTGGAGGATGCTCTGCACAGTGACTGGGACAAGAACCAGGGTGAAAAGAAGCTGTTCTTCACAGGGTTGAGAGCAATGGGATCAGATGTGTCTTTCTCACCAGCCAGGCTCTCCCATGGGGTGCTGGCTGAGACCCTGCTCCCCCTCCTCCATCTCTCCTCCCCCTTCCTCCTCTACCTGCTCCCAGTAGCCTGCAAGGGCACCTCTGTCTGCTGCTCCTGCCATCAATATTGAGGTTATCTTTTTCTTCTGGCAGCTGCTGTAATTGAAACAAAGCAGGCCGGGCCTCACGGGCTCGGCTCCTCTCGCTCATTTTGCCGGTGCTGCTGAGACAACTAATTCATCTTATCGATGCATGGTTGGCCTCTTTTCCACCAGATCCAGGCAGAGTGGTCTCCCCGCCACAGCTGGTAGGGGCAGACTGTGCTCCTGTGGCGTGCTGCTGAGCACTGCTCTTATCCAGCTTCTGGTCCTTGGCTTACCTCAGCTGGGTGCTGGCCACCAGCAGGAGATGTCAGAGGAGACAGTCAGGGGAAGAGGTGCAGACTGGAAGGATGCTGTTGACTTTTGTCTCTTTCTTTTACCTTCTGATGCATTATCAGCACTTGTATTAAATTCCACATGCTTTCCCTGTGCAGCTCCTAAAGGTGTCCCTGCCAGGGAGGTGACAGGTGATGAGTGGCGCATACATGGATTTGCATTCCCTCACTGATGATCAGTGCTGCAATTAGCCATGACAGAGAGAGGGATCCCATCTGGTGCTGGGTGTGTAGTCCAGTGCAACAGCTACCATTTGGTTACCTCCCAGTAGACAAATTCCTGGGCCTGAAAGCTTGGGTGGGCATTTTGCTTTGGGTAGAGACATTGAGGTGTGGGAAAAAGCTTTGACATTGTTTGGGTGAAGTCCTACATGACTGAGTAGGAGTAAGGCTTTAGAGTGAAACTGATTCTATTCCATATATTATTGTCCAAAGACCTGAAGGATTTGGGGTGCCATGCTTGGAGTCCTATGACAGGAGTCAGCTCTGAAAGATGCCAGAAACCTGGAGCTCTGCAAATCCTGTGTCAATGTCTGCACTCCTGCGATGCTGAGGGAGAGCTTTGCTCTGGGTGGGGTGGAGAGGTGTTTTGGGGGAGGAAACAGGCTCTCTACATCACCGGTGTCTTGGAGACTGATGGTGTAAGTAGAGCCAGAGAGCTCCAAGGAATCCTCACCTGTTGGGGGGCTGGCTCAGCTGAGGGGTCAGGGGCCAGAAACAAGGGCTGACTCCAGGTTCTAGCAGTGCTGTTCCTTGGTGCCCTGTTATCTGTGGCCGTGCCACCACCCTGAAGGAGGACAGATGGCAGCTTCACATCACATGAAGCCTTGGCCCTGTGTGCTGCTCCTGCCGAGGGCCAGGCAGATCCTCTCGGGAAAGGAGGAACAGCCAGTCCTAATGTCAACAGAGGCCTCTTGTGCAGCGATGCTGTGTCAAGAAGAGGAATGGGTCCCTCCTCCTCCGCCCATTCATCTGGCAGCAGGGGTTGGCGTGCTGCCAAGCCAGGCTGCTTTGGAAACATTTCATTGAGGAGGCAGCTGAGCCTAGGAAAACAGAATGAAAATATACAGAGGGATCACTGTTGTTAGGCAAAATAAATGCAGGCGGCTGCATTTCTGCCCCCCAAGTCCAGCCCAGCCGGGCCCCTCTGCCTTCTATGGGGCCAGGGTGGCTGCTGCTGCCTGGGGATGGGCATCATCCCATAACCCATCCTGGGTTAGAGCTGGGGAATGAGGCCTGGAGAGATCATCCATGGCTTTGGCCAGCTTGCTGATGGCCCTGGTGAAGAGACCCAGATTCATCTTGGTGTAGCATTGCCCAAGAAGATGGGACAGAGCAGAGAAATAGCAGCAGGGCTGAGCCAGCAGCAGTGACTCGTGGTCCCTGCATGGCCACCAGTGCAGGGGAGTTGATGGAAGTGATGCAGGGGCTGCAGAAGTGAGTCAGATTTTGGCCATGTTCATTCCCATCTCCCTCTTCAGCATCAACCATGGGACCAGGCTGGGCTGGAGGCCCCCAGCAGGACAGAGTCCAATCTCTGGGTTTTCAAAGCCCAGTTGCTTGGCATGCCCCATCTTCTGTCTGCTGGCATAGGGAGAGCAGAGTCATCCCAAATCAGTCCCCAGAGGGTGGAGATGCCTCTCTGACTTCTGAGCAAAGCTGCATACAGGTTGGCCTTTCCCTTTATTTCTTCCTATAACCTCTCTCCTTCCTCCAAAAGCCCTCAAGGCACTCCATGGCCATTTGATGACCAATGAGAGATGAATCCCAGCTCTTTCCCTCCCTCCTGGTGGGTCCAGAGTGACTTGGGGGAGGCAGAGCTAGAGCCCCAGACCCATGGGATACCAAGGCTCTCAGCCCTGCATTCTGTGCTTTCTGTGGCTTCACCTCCTCTCTTTGTCTGCCCAGCACAGTCTGGTTCTGTTATTTACAGCTTAGATCAAGGAGTTGAAAGAGCCTAGTGTGAACAGAAAAAGTCAAACCCACACTCTGGGAGAGACACATCTCACCAGTCTAGCTCATGTATGGATTTTCAGCACAGGGCAGGTGCCCAGGGCTGAAACTGAATCTTGCCCTGGTCCTTGTGTTTGTAGGAGCTTTGCTAAGATTCAGGTGCCCCTCCTGCCCTCCTGCGGAGAAAGCAGGACATCAAAACATCAAGACATCAAAATAATCCTTTTCTGCCATGTGAGGGGTGATTTGCCATGTGTCTCTCCACACACCTGTCCCAGAAACAGGTTGGATGTGATGCTGGATTCCCAAATCCTGATGCTAAGAGAGGCCTGGGATGAGGGCAGATGTGACAGTGATGGCCCTCACGGCACCTGAGGAACCACAGCTTAGTAGAGCTGCCAAAATGCCTGACTCCAACTTCCCATCCAGCTGGATCCTGTGATCCACACGTGTTCCAAAGCTGGGGCAGACCCCATACTAAAGGCTAACAGAAGCATTGTTTACCCCTTGCTTTACCATAATTTATTCATACTCTTGTAGCCTGAAAAAAAGATTCCCCATTTATTTTAGCATCTCTAATTAAGGGGAAGGAACTTCAGTGTCTGGAAGGGGGAGGCAGTGGCCCAAGAGGGTTGTTTTCTGCTGAGCTCAGCTCCGAGACAGCCAGCCTGGCCAGGATGGACATCTCTCCAGTGCAGGACTGAGTAACTTTCTGGAGCACTCTGCGCTTTTAGACTCCATGCTGGAGAGGTGGCTGTTCCTCCTAGAAGCCAAGGGTCTTCTCCCAGCAGCTCCTCTGTACTTAATTGCTGTCTGCACAGCAAATGCGTTTGCTGGAAGGGTGCTGAAATCTCTGTGGCAAGATAGAGGCTCAGCACTTCACTAATCTTACAGGGGCTGGGGGAAGGCAGCCCTGGCAAGCCAGAGGTGTCATGTCATGTGTGGGGGAAAGAGGGAACAACAGCCTGGATGTCTCTGCCTGGGTACAAGGGGGTGTCTGGTCTGCATCATCCCAGCCTGAGCAACCACAGGGGCACACAGGCAAGTAGAGCTGTTACTGGATCGACATGAGGGTGAGAACAGCCATCCCACACCTGATCTTGGAATTCAGCCTGTGCTTGGTGAGGGGAGATGGTACTTTCAGTCCTTATATTTCTCTTTTGAGTACACAGACAATTGCAGTCACACCTGAAAGAGGCCTTTGAGCTTGTCAGTTCTGGAAAGTTTCATAAAATAACTGGCTGGCTAGCAAAAAGCCACTTTATTAGAGTCCCTGCTGGAAGAGGAGCACAGCAATAACTCAGCGCTAATGAATCAGTGGAGAATCCACAGGGGATTTGAACAGTTTGACAGCAAAAAGCTCCAACTCCAGTCTATGCTTTGTTGGAGACCTTACTAGGCACGGGAAAATCTAAAAATGGTGCTAAACTCCATGGGCAACCAAATCAAGGTGTCCCTCCTCTTGCTTGCAAGACCAAATATAAGACAATGCTCTCTGTCTCTTCCTAGACATTGGATCTATGGGGGAGCTAAGGAATAACTATCCCAGCCAATAGATTCCTCTGCTCCCAAATGCATTAGGGCAAGGGAGCTACAGTTACTCCCTGTGTCCTTTCCCTTCTGCCTCTGCTCTGAACAGCATCAGCAACATAAGAAAGGCAGAAACAGCCACACTTCCAGTGGGTACTACGGAGGCTGTAGCAGGGAGTTTGGCTGCTGATAAGCCTGTCTTTGGCTGCTCTGCAGCAGCAAATGCTCTGGATGGCTGGAGCAGGAGTTTGGTGTCTGCCTGCACTCTACTGTCCTGCTCCTTTCCCATTGTTAATTTGCCATAAAGTTGCTTCTGCCCTTGTATATCTTCATCTGTCACCACAACTTCCCTGGTGCTCCCTGTGCCTTGC